CCTCATAGCCATTGCCAAATCTTTTTTTTTAAGTTACTAAGGCTAGAAAACGATATTTACCCATTGATAATTATTATCAGTAAATTGGTTTTTAGCATCAGTTTACTCAAAGTAAAATAGCGGCCCTTAAGAGAAAACATTCAAGAGCCTTATGCTAAATTATCAAAGAGGAATATGAACATATCTTTTTTTTAATGGATTTCCCTTGAAACTTAGCAAGGTACAGTCAAAATTAAATGAACAGTAGTAGTCACTAGTTTTAGTAACTGCTCAGTGGCTCACATTTTATCACATTTTAAGTCTTTCAACGGGATTACCAGTATATATTAATAATTTTCAGTATCAAGTGCAAAAGTGAGGTTACCAAGGATCACTGTGGTTATTTTTTAAAATTTATTTAAATTCAAGTTAGCTAACATAGTAGTATAGTATACTATGAGTATAGTACTGGCTTCAGGAGCAGAACGTAGTGATTCATCACTTACATAGAACATGCAGCACTCATCCCGTTTTTAAGGGCTTGAACTCAAGATCCTGAGATCAAGACCTGAGCTGAGATTAAGAGTCAGATGCTTGACTGACTGAGCCACCCAGGAGCCCTCGTGGCTATTTAAGTTAATAAAGATTAAATAAAAGTTAAAATTTACTTCCTCAGTCATACTAGGTACATTGTGCTTAGTAACCACATGTACCTAGTAGCTACAGTATCAGATGGGATAGATATAGAATATTTCTGTTGTTGCAGAAAGTTCTGTTGAATAGTTGGTCCAGAATATTGAACTGTTAATGTTGAAACTATGTCAAAAGTTATATTCCCTTAAAGATGAACCCATGTTAATAATAGCTATTAGAGCCGGGGTGCCAGTGGTAGATCAAATACTTGAAATGATAATGTTGGTTCATAATTTCAAGCAATGTGAACCTAAAAAAACAAAAGACCTGGTACAATTCCTCCTCAGCCAGAGAGTTTGACATTTTTTTCCAGGGTCCAGATGCAGGGGTATAAAAGCAAAAAGCCTCAAACATCATCAATCACTGTTAAGTAGAGGTCTGACTGCATCTAATTTAGGGGGAAGATTATTGACTCAGCGGCATGCACCCACATGTAATGATAAAGTACAATACTTTTGTAAAAGCTGGTGATTTTTTAAAAATAGGACTAGCAAAGTAAAACAAAATTTAACCAAGGCTAGAGAATATTACATTTGCGAACAATCACAGATTATTAATGTTGGTTCTTATGTAAGGTATACGCATACTTTAAATACAGTTTGCCTTTATTGGAAAACTACTGTCTGGTTGGGGAGGGAACTTAAAAGCAAGTGTGGTCACAAGTGTTGATCCTACCCCATTTGAATTCCATTAAAATGGAATGAGGGTACCTCAAACTGTTTATCAGAAATATAAAGGATTTTCTTCCAGGTACAGTGCTGAAAGATACACAGTGCTGGATAACCTACATCCTGAGAGAAGGCAGTTTGATCAGTAAGTAAGGAAGCCCTAGCAGAACCCATTTCTGACCCACAATTTAAAGGGGAAGGAGACTTTTGGAAACACACCATTTCTTTTCCCAGATAAGGTTTTGGTTTTTTGTTTCTTTTTTTTAAAGATTTTGTTCATCTATTTGACACACAGAGAAATCACAAGTAGGCAGAGAAGCAGAGAGGGGGAAGCAGGCTCTCCACTGAGCAGAGAGCCCAATGCGGGACTCAATCCCAGGACTCTGAGATCATGACCTGAGCCGAAGGTAGAGGCTTAACCCACTGAGCCACCCAGGCGCCCTCAGATAAGGTTTGATCTCCTTTAGGGAACTTACTCCTTTGGTTTTCCGCCTTTCTCTTCTGTATCTTTACTTTTTTTCTCTATGCTGACTCATTCATACCAGTATTTAAATGTGGTTAAGTTTCTCAACATCTTTGAAAAACCTTCCAACATTTACCTCCACCCACTGCCATATTTTGCCCTGCGTCAGTTAAACTACTCATTAGGGGTTCTCCAAATTCTGTCTCCACTTCAAAACCCATGCACAACTCAACTCCACTAAAACTTGAGTCTGTAACAAAGACTTTGTTGCTAAATTCTATAGGTTAGATGAGGGTTTTTTTTTTTTCATTCTTTTTAACGTACACTTAAAATTTACTACTTTCTCCTCCTTAAAAAGCAGCCTTCTCTTAAACTTCTCTGACTTCACACCTGGTTCATTCTGTTTCTCTGCCCACTCCTTAGCGTCCTTTTGGTGACTCATCTGAGTCTCCTCTGGCTGTCTCCAGGCCCTTTTTTGTCCTGAACCTGCACCAGGAGATTTCATGTACTCCAATGGCTTCAAATGAACATCTGTATTCTGATGATTTTCTTTCCTTCTTCTTCTTTTTTTTTTTTTTTTTAAGATTTTATTTATTTGAGAGAAAACACAAGACAGGGAGAAGCAGACTCTGCGCTGAGCAGGGAGCCCAGCATGGGGCTCAATCCCAGGACCCTGGGATCATGACCTGACTTCAAGGCAGACACTTAACCGACTGAGCCACCCAGGCGCCCCTCGGATTGTTTTTCTGTAGTTCCAGCCTGGATCTCTCCAGTGAGTTTCAGATACACATCTAGTTGGCATCTCCTCCTGAGTGTTCGCAGAGGCACCTCAAATTAGCATGTCCCGATCTGGACATCATCTTTCTCCTGAATTTTTCATGTATGTCTTAATCTTAGCAAGTGATGCTACCATCTAGCTATTCAGTTTTAACAAGCCAGAAACCTGGATGTCATTCTTGAATCTTTAATTCTCCCATCATCTGTATCCAAAATCATCAAGTTTTTCCCATTTTAGCAACTATTTCTCAAGTGCAGCCACTTTCCACCTTACCTACGGATACCATTTTAGTACATGCCAGTAATTTCCAATCTAGATTATTTTACCAGCCTCCTATTATATCTCCCCTCTAGTCAAGTATCCACATCAGTAGTTCTCTGAATAAACTCAAATCTGATTCCCTCCCATCCTTAAAATCCCTCAAAGACTCCTTGGTGCCTTTGTCTCACAATAACTCTTCATCACAACCCCAGTTTACAAACCTACTCCAGCCTTTACATTTCCTTTCCCTTGCTTCTTGTCTCTACAATTCGGTCTCTACCTGGACAATCTCTTCCATCTCTCCCCACAAATGTCACCCCATTCTCCTGGCTAATTTCTACTCCTTCTTAAGGTCTTGTTTGGACATTATTTCCTCTTAGAGACTTCTTGCCAATCCTCCCCCTCGAAACTGTTAGGGACCTGTCCTACAGTATCTAATTCTTTACCTATAGATGCACTTGCACACTATTTAGGTGTGTGTATCCCTCGCTGGATTGCAAATTACTCAAGAGCAGACTTGTGTCTTTTTCACTGATTAATCCTCTGGTACATAGGTGTGCAACCACCTTCTTTATCAAAGTTTCACAAGCCAAGGCAATACTGCTCTGCTCTAATGACCCCAGGACCAGGTACCAAACAACTTGGGATAGCCCCTATGTCCCAAAGCTCACTGAAATTTTTCTAGCCAATCTTAAATCTCTTACCTCGGGGTACATGGGTGGCTCAGTCAATTAAGCTTCCAACTCGATTTTGGCTCAGGTCATAATCTCAGTGTCATGAGATGCAGCCCAGCGTCAGGTTCAGCTGGGTGTTGGGCACGGAACATGCTTGAGATTCTCTCTCCCCCTCTTCCTCTACCCCCCCCCAAACAAAACCTCTTAGGCTTACCCTGCTTCTGCTATTCCTGTGTGCATAAAACCACAATAAAGGCTCTCACCCATGTTTTCCCCTTGCTCCTTCTGACTCCTGACCCACCCTAGCGCTTCCCTGTATGGACATAAACTTTGTGTATGGTATGTCTAGAATTGGTTTGGTATAAAATATTTTATGCGTGTGGGCAAGAATTAGGAAGAAAAATGGGAAAATGAGAACTGTATCAGGGTGGAGGATATACAGCTTTTACCAGGCCTTTATATAATATCAAGTAGATATTAAGATATTTAAGATTTTGTCAGAGAGAGAACAAGAAAATGAGCACAAGCAAGGAGAACAGCAGGCAGAGGCTGAAGCAGGTTCCCTGCTGAGCAACAAGCCCAATGTCGGATTTGATCCCTTGACCCTGGGATCATGACCTGACTCAAAGACCGACGGTTAACCGACGGAGCCACCCAAATGTCCTTCAGTAGCACATTTTTAAAGCCCATCATGGATGCAAAGATGGGAAGCCCCTGGGAAAGCGGGGCTAGAGGAGCAGAGATGATAACTCTGTTCTCACCAGAATCTTGTTACCAAAATGGAAGGTTTTGTTCTTTGTTTTTCCTACTCAATACCGTTTGCCAAATAACCAAACAGTATTTGAGGGCAAGCAGGTTATTTATTCAGTAGCTAGAGAACAGAGAAGGAGAGCTCATGCTCTATAGGCACATTTTTCCTATTTATTAGGTCTCATGGTCAGCGTTTTATGGGATTAAGGTAATTAAGGGGCTGGTAAGCAAGTGGACCTTGGGGCTTTGGGGGTTGGGGGGTGTGGAGAGGAGACGTCTCAGAATGAGTGCGCCAATTCTTTTCTTCCCTTTAAATGGGTGCAGTCAGATCTATCATGGCACTGATAGCTGTGTTCTCTGTTAATACAATTAGATGTCACTGAGCCGGAGGCTATGTGTGGAGGGTTAGCACGGCGGCTGAACTGAACCAAACCGGTGGAAAACTGTGTCATGGGGTCTTGTTTGGAGTCTATGGCTTCTGGTATCTGGCTTTAGTTTCTGGTGGCAAGCAGCATCTGCCAGCAGGACTCAAAAACTGGGCTATGTAGCTTGTATGGAGCTTGTTAGAGAGTCTCAGGTGTTAACGTCCACGCTCAAAAGTCGTGGCAGCCTGGTAGGCTGCACGATTCTAGGCGGGCTCAGCGCAGCCTCCCTTCTTTACAACCGGAACCCTCCAGAGTCGTGTCTATGTTTTCCAGTCGGCGGTGAAAGCTCAGTACCCGATCTTCCCGGAAGTTGTTGCGCAGTCGCTTCCGGGGCAGGGTGAGGCGAAGGAAGATTGCGAATGGGTCGCAGTCGCAGCCGCTCCCCACGGAGGGGTGAGTCCAGAAGGAATTTGGCTGGTCTGGGGCTTGGTCGGAGGCGTGGCCCCCCTCCCTTTTCTCACCCCAAGTACGAGCGCAGCGGAGAAAGGGGCCTTTTTCTCCTGAGGTGGAGAAGAGTGGGGTTGTGTGGGGGTGGGGGAGTACGAAGACTTGAGCCCTGTACTTTTCAGCCCTCCGGTGTGAAGGCAGTTTTCCCTTCTCTGAGTTAAGAGTTTGGCGGACTCTCTGTCAGACTCATACAATAACTTTTTATACTTGTGACTGAAGGATTTAGAATCAGACCACGGTTCCCTCACTTAATTTCTGGGTGGCTTTGTGCAAGTCATCCGGCCCTTCTGAGGCCGAATTACCGTAATTAGACATTGGGGTAGTACTACCTATCTTTAAAAACTGACGTGAGAATTAATGTCACATTCCATAACACTCAGCATGTGGTAATGGCTAGTTCTTGAATGCTCATTGTTCGTTTCCTTCCCAGTTTATGTAATAGGAAAAGCGATATGTAGAATTTTGCGTCCAGGGAGCGCATCTCGTGATATCTTCTGGCACCCACCCCCATAAATAAGGCAGTGGGAAGTAAAGAACAGGACTTCGATCAGGAGATCTCACTTAGACCCTCTGTTCTTCCTCTGGTTGGTTTTCATCACTTTCAACTAGTCAAGACTCTAAAGTTGAATGAGGCCACGATCCACATACGGCTATGGAGCACTTAAAATGTGCTCAGTACGAATTAGGAACTGCTGTTTAAGTGTAGAATACACTCCAGATTTCCTATTAAACACCAAAAAAAAAAAAAAAGTCATCTCAGTAATTTTTATATCGCGTACATGGCGAAATGATAATAGTTGGGATATATTGGGTCAAATAACAATATTAAAATTAATGCTACCTGTGTCTTTTAATTTTTTTAATATGACTCCTAGAAATGGCTGGCATTATGTTTCCATCGGACGGTGCAGCTCTAGAAATTTGAAGTAATGTTTTGCCTCTGCAAAAAGATTTTGTGTGTTTGTATTAGAGCGCAGGCGGTCCCGGTCCACGTCCCGTGAGCGAGAACGCAGGCGCCGAGAAAGGTCCCGGTCCCGGGAGAGAGATCGGCGAAGGAGCCGCTCTCGATCCCCACACAGAAGACGCTCCAGGTGAGTGCAGAAAAAACCCAGAAGTTGTACCGGCCCCAAAGAAACTAGTCGCTGCCCTTGGATTTGTTTTTATCACTTACCGGGAATTTACAGTTTCATGAAATGAGGGGAACTTAAGCCCACCTTATTTTAAACTGAACATTTACATTGGTAAGACGGGGTTAATCACACACTATGCCATAGAGTTGCCTTGAGGAGGCAATGAGAAATAATACATGAAAAACACTAGCGTGGTGCTTTGCAGGAGTAGGAAGTAAAGGTTTTGTATTTTGGGGTTTTTTGGTTTGTTTGTTTAAGGTTTCATTTTTATAAGTAATCTCTATACCCACTGTGGGCTCCAACTCGCAGTCCTGAGATCAGGAGTTGCATATTCCATGGACTGAACCAGCCAGGTGTCCCTGTTTTGTTTTTACTAACTTTTCGGTGATGAGGGTTTACTCAAATATATAAACAAGAATGTGACATCTTGAAAGAACCTTAGAAATGGACTCTTGATTCTTAAGTATCAATTGCTGTTTAAGTCAACTTTTTTGTGTATTTGTAATTGTTAGAAACTTATTTTTCTGCCTTACAGAAAATTTTTTCAGCCCTAGCTGTACTGAGACTGATGATTAAAGCAATAAATTACATTTTTGGCTTTTTGTTAACAGTGAGGGCCTAGGCAGAACCTTCTTCCTTGTTCTGCTATGGGGAATGGACTCCTCGTTCTCTGGAACCTGGCTTTTGTTCAGCCTTAACCTTTTTGGAGCTCATGTACATGTTTGCCGGTCAACACAAGTCATCAGTTATATCTCTGCTTCTGCTGTCTTTACTTATTGAATATTAGGTCCCCAAGACGACATAGATCCACATCTCCTTCCCCTTCTCGACTGAAAGAAAGAAGAGATGAGGAGAAGAAAGAAACAAAAGAAACAAAGAGCAAAGAACGCCAGATTACTGGTAATGTTATTAGATAAATAACTGTAGGAAAAACACAGCTGTGTTCATATAACTTTAGTCATGATAAAATTATAAAAGTGTTATTTAGGGACATTTAAGTATTAGTTTTTTTATAGTGTTCATTGCATATGGTATTGAGATTTTGTTATTATTGTACCTTAGTGAGTTGCTGGTTTTCTGTGGTGCTCTTGATATAAGAAGGACAGTTAAAAATGAGAAGATTCTATTTTGGAAGTACCTTTAAAAGTAGTGTTGTATCTGACATTAAAAGTGGTCCTGCCCAAAGGCTCCAAGCATGTCCGTTTTGTTTTTTTTTTTTTTTTTGAAAGATTTTATTCATTTATTTGACAGACAGAGATCACAAGTAGGCAGAGGGAGAGAGAGGAGGAAGCAGGCTCCCTACTGAGCAGAGAGCCCAGTGCAGGGCTCTATCCCAGGACCCTGGCACCATGACCTGAGCCGAAGGCAGAGGCCTTAACCCACTGAGCCACCCAGGCACCCCAAGCATGCCTTTTTTAAGCATTCTCTTCTGATGGAGGATGGAGAGCATATTTCCTCCGTGCATCTTAAGTTACATTTTGTCCAAACTGAGGAGGAATTTTTTCCAATTTCCAAGTCTTTAGCTAATTGTTTGTGTGTTCTCTGTTGCTGAGATGGAATAACTATTTTTTTTAAAGATATTATGTAATTTCAGAGAGAGAGAGAGAGAGAGAGAGAGGGCAAGCAAGAATATGAGCAGAGAAGAGAGACAGGGGAGAGGCAGAAGCGGACTCCCCGCCTAGCAGGGAACCCTGCCAGGACCCTGAGACCATGACCTGAGCTGAAGGCAGACGCTTAACCAACTGAGCCACCCAGGCACCTTGAAATAATTGTTAATCTGTTGCCACCACCCTCTTTATACAGGTCATGTCCCATGTCGTTGGCCCCTGCCCCTGGGTACAAAAGTTGAGCCTTCCTATGAAACCTTTCCTAAGCCGAAATGGCATAAAGCAAAGAGTCATGCTTTCTGAAAGTTTGTGGTACACCACTTTGCTTTTACAGAAGACCTACATTATGGGGCGCCTGGGTGGCTCAGTTGTTAAGCGGCTGCTTTCGGCTCAGGTCATGATCCCAGGGTCCTGGGATCGAGCCCTGCATCTGGCTCCCTGCTTCTCTCTTTCTCACTCCCCCTGCTTGCGTTCCCTGTCTTGCTGTGTCTCTCTCTGTCAAATCAATAAATAAAATCTTTAAAGAAAAAAAAAAGACCTACATTAGTACAGTAATTTCTTTTTTCTTAAAAAAAAAAATCCTCTTCACATTTCTTTTGGTTAGCAAAAAAAGTACTAACATAGGTCTTTTTTTTTTCTTTTAAAGTATTTATTTTAGAGAGTGTGTGTGTGCGAGCAAGCACAAGCAGGGAGGGGAAAGGGAGAAAGAATCTGAAGCAGACTCACACTGAACGCAGAGCCCGACATGGTGCTCGATCCTACAACTGCAAGATCATGACCTGAGCCAGAACCACGAACTGGATGCTTAACTGACTAAAACTGACTAAGCCACCCAGGTGCCCCTAATGTAGGTCTTTTCTAAAAGCAAAGTGGTATACCACAAACTTTGGGAAGGTGGGATGCCTATATATAAAGTGATAGGAGTTAAAAAAAATTTTATTTTTGTGTTATTTTTTTGCAGAGGAGGACTTAGAGGGCAAAACAGAGGAAGAAATAGAAATGATGAAATTAATGGGATTTGCCTCTTTTGACTCCACAAAAGTAAGTAAAACATGTAGCCAGTTAAACATTCTGATTTGAATTAATCCATTCATACTGCCACAAATTTCCATATTATTTTACTGTTGCTCATAATTTCTTCCATTCACACAAGTTTTTTCCTTTAGAAGACATGAAGTATCTGTGTGAAGAGCATTGAGAGCACAGAGAAAGAAGCCCAAAGCTGCCATTAGAATTTGGGGAGTGTTTGCCTGATGTTTAATTTTATCTTCAGGGTGATCAGATGAAGAGGAGGAAGATCATTTGAATAGAGGGAAGAGCTCATGAGAATGTATGTAGGTATGAAGGAGCATAGTGTGTTGTGGGAATTTCAAATTCAGTGACTAGTAAGAGGTGCTGATGGGCTAGAAGTGAGGTTAGAAAGTGGGATAGGGAGCAAATTTTGGAAGCTTTTGATACTCTTACCCATGCTAAGGAACTTAGAGTTGATTCTTTAGGTGCTGAGGAGAAGAAGCAATGATACGTGCATTTAGAAAGATGAGCTAGGGGGCGCCTGGGTGGCTCAGTGGGTTAAGCCTCTGCTTTCAGCTCAGGTCACGATCTCAGGGTCCTGGGATCGAGCCCCACATCGGGCTCTCTGCTCGGCAGGGAGTCTGCTTCTCCCTCTCCCTCTGCCTGCCTCTCTGCCTACTTGTGATCTCTCTCTGTCAAATAAATAAATAAAATCTTAAAAAAAAAAGAAAGGAAGAAAGGAAAGAAAAGAAAGGAAAAAAGGAAGAAAAGAAAGAAACATAGAGAGATAGAAAGATAGATAGATGAGCCAGGACAACATGGAGGACAGATAGGAGACAGGTTAGGTTGGAGGCAAGGAGAACTGCTGGGTCATGCAAATGAAAGATGATGAAGGCCTGAACTGAGGCCAGAATATTGAGTCTACTCAGGAGCCAGAGTTGGTGGTGGTGGTGGGAGTGAGTAGTCTTTGAGGACTCCAAAGTGATAGGCTGAAACACTAGGAAATGGGGTTAACCAAGAAAGGGTTCTAGGACAGAGAAATGCTGTTAAACAAGAATGAAATTCAGCTGCAGAGAAAGATGACATTGGGTAGCTGTATATATATCTCAAAGCTCAGAAGAGGGGAGAATTGGAAAGTGAGTTTCCTAGCCTTGATCATAATACTGAAGAGAATAAGGAACTGGGGGAGGAAAAGGCAGTTTTTGAAAAAGATGATGAGAAGGGATTATAGGTTTGGGGGGGTGGGGTAAAGAGTAGAAAGAGATAGGGAGATGGGAAAGAAAGAGAAATGGGGGGGAGGGGAGATAGAGGATGTGGAAAGAGGAGAGGAGAGAGAAGGAGCTAGTAAAAATAGAGAGTATATGTGGAAGGAATATATATTTTCTTTGAGAATATAGTTTAAAAACATTCTCTAGAATTTTAAGTCCATTTAGTTTTGTAAATGGAAATAGGTTCTTAAGAAAAAATGTCAAAAATAATCCAAATCTTGTGAATGGATTGGGATAATCTCAGAATCTGTAAAAGTTTCTTCCTAATGGTTGTGATTGTATAGAGCTCACATTTTTTTTAATTTTAATTTTAATTTTTAAGATTTTATTTATTTGACAGAAATCGCAAGTAGGCAGAGAGGTAGTCAGAGAGAAGGGGAAGCAGGCTCCCTGCCGAGCAGAGAGCCTGATGTGGGGCTTGATCCCAGAACCCTGGGACCATGACCTGAGCCAAAGGCAGAGGCTTAACCTAATGAGTCACCCAAGTGCCCCTAGAGCTCACATGTTTTTAAAATGACAGTGTATATATAACCCAAGAGGAATACTGAGGCATGACTGTTCTGAGGTAAGAAAATTAGGAGCTCTTGTTCTCACAAATGGTTATTCCCCATTTTTGAATTTAATGCAGTTTATGTATCTGGTTTTTTTCCTTGAGTACACCAAATCCGTATTTGTTTTGCCAAAGAGTATTTTATAAGTGAAATGCTTTATTAATGTGTACACTGAGTGAACAAAAATATCTCCAAAGTAAAGCAACTGTAATTTTGCTGTTGTTAGAAGAATAGGGAGGGGAATCTATCAGAATTATTTTTGGGGGGCTGGGGCTGGAGCAGAGGGTTTCTGTTGTTTGATGTTAAGTTCGAAATTCTGAGAATCAGATGTAAAAATGGAACCATACTTTTTTTTTAAAAGATTTTATTTATTTATTTGAGAGAGAAAGAGCATGAGCAGTGGGGAGAAGCAGAGGGAGAAGCAGGCTCTCAGCTGAGCAGGGAGCCCCATATGGGCCTCAATCCCAGGACCCTGGGATCATGATCCTGGAGCCATACTTTCAACTGTAGTCTGTGCTGAAGGTGTTTATTCATAAAAGAAAAAAATAGTGGCGCCTGGGTGGCTCAGTGGGTTAAAGCCTCTACCTTCGGCTCAGGTCATGATCCCAGGGTCCTGGGATCGAGCCCCACATCAGGTGCTCTGCTCAGCAGGGAGCCTGCTTCCCTTCCTCTCTCTGCCTATCTCTGTCTGTCAAATAAATAAATAAAAAATCTTTAATAAAAGAAAAAAATAGGTGAGAATTCATACATCCCGTAAAAAAAAGGTGTACCATGAGAACAAATGATGTCATTTGTTTTCTTAAGGACATCTACAAGGATGTTAATCTAGTTTATATGCAGTTAGTTTCATGGCCATCAGTTGTAAAGCTTCTCTGTTCATTTGCCTTTCAGTAATGTGTATCTTGTGATATTTCATCATAGGTCTATGCTACTTTTTCATGTACCAGTGTGGTCACTTATTTTCCCTTAAATTTTCACATTCTAGAATGTTTCAGAGTTCGGTTATGTTTGTTAATGGGTAATTTTCTATTTTAGCATGTAAATCAAAACAGGCTAATAATATACAACTCTTCAAATAGTTTTCAAAAACCAGTAATCCTTTAGGAATTGAACTTAATAAAATAGTTAGAATCATTACTTTTTTCTAAGCCAGTCTTTCGAAATCATGCCTGCTTTCTATTTTTGGGAGGGTAAAATTATACACCTCAAGTAATTTACCCAGTATTGTACTCTCCGCACCCTCCCAACAATGTAGTGAAAACAGGAATAGAAAAGTAAAACCAAATACATGTATTTATTATTTTTTTAAGATTTATTTATTCTAAGTTTTGGAGAGCGTGCAAGCAGGAAAGAGGCAAAGGGAGAGAGAGAATCTCCAGCAGAACCTCCACTGAGTGTGAAGCTCGACACAGGGCTCAACCCCACAACCCCCAGATCGTGACCTGAGCCGAAATCAAGAGTCAGACACTTGATCAACTGAGCCAGCCAGGTGCCCCCAAATGCATTTACTTTAGCTCCACCTCAAATATATACCTGACCTGTGCATACCTTTAGGGCAGTGGAAGGAAAAGAATCCTTTTTTTATCCTAACAGAGATACCTAGTAAGTGTGCTATGCAGATAGGGTATACTCCCATGAGTAATGGTGGGGGAGGGAGGGAGGGAATTGGAGGTCACATGTGTATGAAAGAGATGGCATTGATCGCTGGTGTTCATATATTTAACAGTCATTTTCTGAGCGCCTGCAAGTTCAGTGGCCTAGGGTGTGAGAATGCAAAGGTAACTGATATCCATATCCCTCCATCAGGAAGCTTTCAGTCTCAGAGAAAATAACATCATGTATATACATCATGAAAATGCAAGGTAGAAAATGGAAGGTATTATGAGGGAAGCACAGTTAGCAGTCTGGGGAAGCGTAGTGGGTGCTTTCTGCCAGCTGAACCACTGGAATTGGCCCTTGAATGGTGGATAAGAACTAGATGGTTGGGGTTCTTGGATGAGGGTTGAGAAGGCAGTTTAGACATGAGAAACAGCAAATGGTGAGTTAACTTGGCCAGATCAAAAGACCCATAAAGGAGTTAGTGAAAAAGAAGGTAGATGCCACATAAGAAGGGCTAAGATAAAAGTGACACTTAACATTAACACCTGTTATTCTGCATTCTGGGTTTTTAAAAGATTCATTCATTCATTCATTCATTCATTCATTTATTTTAGAGAGGGGAGGTAGGGAGAGGGGCACAGGGCGAGGGAGAGAATCCCAAGTAGACCCCCCAGCTGAGTGTGGCTATCTCATGACCCTGAGATCACGACCTGAGCCAAAACCAAGAGTTGTATGTATAGTCAATCGACTGAGCCACCTAGGCACCCCTGTATTCTGATTCTTGATTGAAAAATCGAAATTTTAAGGCCTGTGCAAGAAAGGAGATCTGAATGAATGGTGACTGTTCCAGCTGTGATTTGAGCTGTGAGCTTAGGTCATAAGTTAAATTTTCCTAGAGAAAATATCCGTAAGTGGTATTTGGTTTCAAAGAATTCTTGGACCAAAAAAGATTAAGAACCTATTTCTCTGCATGCCTTGCATATAAATATATATACCATGAATGTTTGCTGGCTTGGATATTTGAATATGTTAGATTATGTGTGACTGTAAAAATGGGAACAGAGTTTTAATACATGGGAGTTCATGGAATATCATCAGTATCTGAAAATTCTCTCATTGGGCTTCACCATTCTTAAATGAATTTTGCCATTTGAGTATGTTTAGAGGACCCAGCTCTTTGAGGCATTTAATATATCCTTCCCATTTTTTATATTTGTTTATTGCTTTTCTCTAGGGGAAAAAGGTGGATGGTTCTGTAAATGCCTATGCCATAAATGTGTCTCAGAAGAGGAAGTACAGGTATGCTTAGCTCCCATGACTATGTTTGAACTAATGATAAAAATTAGGTGCTTGGGAAAGTATTCATGAGATAGCTGTGTTTGTAGGAAATGTAGCAGTTTCGTATAGTTCCTTGTTTTGATCTTCTTTGCTTATATTCTGGTGTGTTAGAATAATTTCCAATTTACATGTGAACTAATAACTATTACAGAGAAGGCTGTTGGCTTAAATTTTTTTAAACTCAACATTGTTCTTTTTTCAAAACAGCATATTCTCAAGTCTTTAGGCTTTAATTTTATTACATTTACAGATTTAAATTCGATCCCTCCTGAATTATTAACCTAGAATGATTGTGTAAGGATTTCAGCTACAAATATATTTTTCTGTTGAGTATATTAAGTATTTTAAGGCATATTTTATCAATACCACAGAAATAAACAATCCATACCTGAAGTTTCACTGAATTCATAATGACATCTTTAAATGCCTTTCTCTCAGCCTTTACCAATGATAAAAGATTAGTATTCCAATTAGCTTAGAATATGTATAATGTGATCTGAGAATGCTGTGAGTTAAGGTGAGGACTGGAATCATCATTAATGGCCCTTTGCAAAATTATTTTCAAAGACAGTCTAAATGAGGAGAACTAGTACAATATGCAATCATATTTACATGATGGGTACCTATTTTAGAGCTCTTCTCTATTTCCTTATTATTACCTGTAAGTAGGGATTTTCAACCCTTTTTTTTTTTTTTTTTAAGTCTGTAGAACCTTTCCAAATAATTTTGGAAGTATATTTCCATCCTTCTATTTGGATTTTAAAGAAATCTGAAAGGCTTTAGGTTATTTTGAAAATGATATAATATCCTTAATGTGCATTAAATAACCATGAATACTTTTGCCCTAGACTTTGCCAATTTAAAGATGATTTATATTATTATTTTTTTATAAGAGGAGTCCAGAATTTTTTTTTAATACACAATGAGTTTTCTCTTCTCATCATAGGCAGTACATGAATCGAAAAGGCGGATTCAACAGACCTTTGGATTTCATTGCATGAAAACTGAAATGATAAAGAATGGTTTTTTTCCTTTACCTTGTTCAGAAGAGTGGATTTTGTATTTCATATGTAATATGCATAAAAAACAGGATCACAGTCCTTCCTCCTTGTAAAGTAAGAAAATTTTTATTTATGATGTATGCAGTTCACATACCCTGACTCACAAAAAAGAAAGTTAAATACTACATTTTTTTCTTTTAGGAAATATCATTTGGGGCAATCAGCCCCATTTTTTTGTTCTTATTATTGTGGAATCTGTATATGTTTTCTTCTTGGGTGCACGTTAGGACTTTTTTAAACACATAAAAGTAATTTGGATGTAAGTTTGTCAAATAAAGCAATATTTCTACCCTTTTGTATTTGATAAATATTTGTATTGCTGTATAAAATTTTCCCCCTACACAGTTTTTTCCCCCTATGTAGATTTAGATTTCATTAGTAACTTACCAATAACTGGGTTTTTTTTTTGCCCCAATTATTTCCTCCATTTATTGTTTTTCCCATTTTAAAAACTATATATGCTTATTATATAAAAACTTGGGAGAAACCAAAAAGCAAAAAGAAGAGCCAAAAATCACCTATATCTATCCCCAGAAACAATATTTTGGTATATGTCTTTCTAGCCTCCTATGGTATATATTTATTGTCCCTACCCGTTATATCAGAATTTATATGCTGTTTTCTTTTGCTAATCTTTTTTCTCCCATGTACTGTGAACAGTTTTTAATACTTACGTGTTATTTAGAAACTTAACTTTTAGTTAAATTTAGCTACTTGGTTGTACCATAATTTATTAACTAATCTTTTATGAACAAACATTGGCTTCCCTCCCATGACTTGCTGTTTTAATTAAAACTGTGAGTAGTATTCCTGTTACATACATCTTTTTGTACTTACTGCATTATTTCCTCAGGTTCCATTCTTAGATGTGGCATTGCTGGGTGAGATAAAGGGGTGTGTGTGCATGTCTTAAGGCTTTTGATATATGTATGGCTAGAAAGGTAACAACCATCTCTCACCAGTAAAGTATAAGCATTCTGATTTTCATATGTGGGCACCAGTGTCAGGTGTAATACTTTTTTTTTTTTTTTTTAAAGAATTTATTTATTTATTTGACAGAGAGATCACAAGTAGTCAGAGAGGCAGGCAGAGAGAGAGAGGAGGAAGCAGGCTCTCCGCAGAGCAGAGCCCGATGTGGGACTCGATCCCAGGACTCCGAGATCATGACCCGAGTCAAAGGCAGAGGCTTAACCCACTGAGCCACCCAGGCGTCCCTAGGTGTAATACTTTTTTAAATTTCCAATCTGGTAAACTAATATTTGGTTTTAATTTGTTCAGTTGCTAAGGAGGATGAACATTTAAAAAATGTGTTGGTCATATATATATATACATTTGTGTGAAATGCTTATTCCAAGTCTTAGAGCCACTTCTTCTTTTTTTTTTTTTTTTTTCTTAAAGACTTTTTTTTTAATTTATTTGACAGAGATCACAAGTAGGCAGAGAGGCAGGCCCAGAGAGAGAGGGAAGCAGGCTCCCTGCTGAGCAGAAAGCCCAGTACGGGACTTGATCCCAGGACCATGAGGTCATGACCTCAGCCGAAGGCAGCGGCTTAACCCACTGAGCCACCCAGGCACCCTTTGGAGCTGCTTCTTTTGGCAAGCTTTTCTTTTTCTTAGTTGAGGGAAACCCTTTTTATACCAAAGATGACAACCACTACCCATTCTGTTTCATACCTTGCTGATATTTGAGGTTCTGTGGTTAAATTTTATTTTACTTTATTTTTGAGTAAGTAATACAAACACATGGAACACAATTCAGACAGAACAAAGGGTATATAGGGAAGAGCTAATTGTGCATCCTTTTAGAGATATTCCATATATGCACAAACGTATGTGTGTACATATCTTTGTTATTCAGATATAAGCAGACTCTACACACTATTCTGCACCTGTCCTTTTTTTATTTACTAGTACATCCTAAAATTATTTCTTTTATCTTTTATTTAAGTAGGCTTCATGTCTAGCATAGAGCCTAATGCAGGCTTGAACTCACAGCCCTGAGATCAAGACCTGAACTGAGATCAAGAGTCTGGCACTTAACCACCTGATCCACCCAGGCGCCCCAGGATTGTTTCTTACCAGTGCATTTAACACTGCCTCTATTTATTAAGGGCAGCAGTCACGGCTCATTATAGGACGGACTGCAATAGTCCTTATTTATGGGCACGCATATTTTTTTTTTTTTAAGTCTTTCACTATTTTTAAAAATTTGGGGGCACTTGGCTGGCTCATTCAGTGGAGCATGTGACTCAGGGTTACGAGTTAGAGCCCCACATTAGGTATAGAGATTACTTTAAAAAAACTTTAAAAAAAGGATTCTATAATCACCATCCTTGTATGTAAATGATTTTACAAGCATTTTTAGCTGGATTATAAATCATTATTACATCTAAAATTTGACCACCTGTTGTAGTTCTTTAAAAATTTTCCTGGCAAATTCATTTCCTGCAAAGAAAATAATAGTAGTGTGACTGCACTGCATAATACAGTGCACAGAGCACCTTGGTTTATTTAATCCGTAAGAGATAGAGCAGGTACTATTATCTCCATTTCCCAGATGAGAAAGCTGAGGCTCTTCAAACCATAAAAGCAGGAAATACTGGGATTTACGCTACATCAGTTGCACAGTTTGTAATACCCATTGCACGAATGTCCCTGCTCCCAGGTGGTTAGATTATTTTGCTTGGAGTTTTTTTGTTTTTTTAATTTTTTATTTTTTATAAAAAATATATTTTTATCCCCAGGGGTACAGGTCTGTGAATCGCCAGGTTTACACACTTCACAGCACTCACCATAGCACATACCCTCCCAATCCCATCTTGTTTCATTTATTCTTCTCCTATCCCCTTAGCCCCCCATGTTGCATCTCCACTTCCTCATATGATAGTTGTCTTTCTCCAATTGACTTATTTTGCTATTGCTTGGAGTTTTGCCACCTGAGCTGTTTGTCTCTAAATTATCCACAATAAAGACTATTTCTGACCACATTTGTGCACACTTAAGGAAGGCAGATCCAGCTGTGGTTTTAATAAGGAAGCTAAAACTTCTGGGATAAAATAATATACCCAAGACCACATTACAAATTTTTGGATTGTCATCTTCGTGTGGTGTTAATAGAGATTTGACTCAAGATCCCCAAAGCAGCATGCTTGGTAAAAAAATAACGAGAATACCTTGTAGGTTAATAGGTTTGCTCTCCATGAGCTAACACCAAGAAATGGAAGAGGAAGACATCTGAAAAGCCAGCGATAAGACACCTGTGATCCTAAAGGAAGTCCTGTTTTTGTTTATTCATTTGGGTTTTTTTTTTGTTTTTAAGATTTTTTAAACTTATTTTAAGAGATAGAGCATAAGCAGCAGGGAGGAGCAGAGGGAGAGGGACAAACAGACTGTGCTGAGCGTGGAGCCCGAGGTAGGGCTCAGTCCCACGACCCTGGGATCATGACCTGAGCAGAAATCAAGAGTTGGGTGCTGAAGAAACTGAGCCACCCAGACACCCCAGAAGTCCTGGTTTAAAGGAAGTTTTATCCATCAGATCATCTGATTCTGTAAGAACAAATACGGAGCATCTTTGTCTTCCTCTAGCAAGCTGCTGCTTCTCAGACATAAATTGTACCATATTTTCTCTTTCTAAGTATCTAAATGTTGGAGTGTGTTGGGGTTTAATTCCTGGACACTCCATTGTCTTCCTTACTGAGTCTCCAGTGTGGCTTCCAGCTTATACTTCCAGCCTAGCCATTTTATTGAATTGTAGGCTTGTGCAGTTGTGCAGTTATGTGCCTAGATTATTAGGCACCTCAAAGTTAAGGTTAACTCAGTTCTCATTTCCCTGCCCAGCCTTTTCTGAGGCTTCCACATCTCAGTAAATGGCCCATCCTTTCACTCCTTTGCTCAGACCAAAATCTGTAGGGTCATCCTTGACCTCCTCTCTTTCTCATACCCCACATTCATTAGCAAACTTTTTGGCTCTAACCTCAATATATTTTGCATCCAACTGTTGCTTTTTTCCCCCCAGATTTACTGAGGTATAATTGACATACAAAACTTTAAGATATTTAAAGTATACATCATGGTGATTTGATAGACATTGAATCTGACCACCTACCACCTAGACTAACATAAGTTATCTCTCTTGCTTGGATTACTGCAATAGCCTCTCTTGAAGCAGCAGAGGCAAACCTTTTAAAATGTGCATCAGGTCATGATTTCAACTCAATTCATGATCTCAGTGTCATGAGACCAAGCCCAGTGTCAGGTTCCATGCTGCAGAGTCTGCTTGGGATTCTCTCCTCTCCGTCATGCCTACCCCACCCCCCACGCCCATGCACTCACTCTCACTTGCTCTTGCTCTCTGTCTCTCACTAAAATAAGTAGATAAATCTTCTTAAAAAATAAGGTCCAGTCCTTACTGCAGTGTACAACCCTATACAGTCTGAACCCTGGCTTCCCACAGTCTCACCTCCTTGCTGCTGCCTTTAACCAAGCTCCTGACCTTGCTGTTCCTTGAGAACATGTGTGAATGTAACTCAGTCTTTCCATTTGCTCTTCCTCCTGGAATGTTCCTTTCTGCTTCCCGACTTCCACCCTGATTTGCAGGGGTGGCTTTATGTCTCTGCCCAAAATAAGGTCATTCCTGACCATCCTATCCAAAACAGCAACCCTGCTTCCCTCTCTATCCCTTTACCCTGTTCTACTTATTTTAACATTTAAAAAAATTGAGAAATTCACAAACCAAAAAATTCACCCTTTTACAGTGGTACCATTTCAGTGGGTTTTAGTATATTCAGGGTTTGGGGGTTTTTTTGTGTGTGTGTGTTTTTTTTTTTTTTTAAGATTTTATTTACTTGAGAAAGAGCACAAGCAGGAGGGACTGAGGGAGAGGAGAAGCAGGGTCCCCACTGAGCCACTGAGCAGGGAGCCCAACATAGGGGACCATGACTTGAGCCACCCAGGCGTCCCTAGTATATTCAGTTATGTATCACCACTGTCCAATTACAAAATATTTTCTTCACCCCAAAGAGATCCCATACCCAATCAACAGTCACTCTTCATCCCTCTCTGCCACCCTCATTCCCACCACCCCTGAAACCACTAATGTATGTTTTGTCTCTAAAAATGGGCCTCTGGCACCCAAAAATGGGCACCCGGGTGGCTCAGTTGGTTGGGCAACTGCCTTTGCCTTGGGTCATGATCCTGGAGTCCCAGGGTCAAGTCCCGCATCTGGCTCCCTGCTCAGCAAGTAGTCTCCTTCTCCCTCTGACCCTCTCCCCTCTCATGCTCTCTCTCACTCTCTCTC